TCAGTCTTCGGTTCCTCAGAGCAATGATACTATTCCTACCAATACACCTCAGCCATCGGTTCCCAAAAACCATGTCACTACTACCTCTAGTCAAGAATTATCGAGCAAGCATCAAATCAATATTTGTGATTCTTGCATGAGGAGTAATTTTTCTGATCAAATCACAGAATCATCGAGCAAACATCAAATCAATATTTGTGATTCTTGCATGAAGAGCAATTTTTCTGATCAAACCACAAGTGTATCCGTGTCTCAGATTAACAATAACCAGATAATTTCCAATCAAGTTACTAATATTCCTGATCCTCAAAACTCAACTCCTTGTCAAGATATAACTGCGACTCAACATATTTCAAATTGCACTACCAACGTAAATATCAATTCTTCTTCGTGGAAACTTGGATATATTACTACCATTTTTGGTCTTACCTTTTTAGTATTAGGAATTATTTTTTACATTATCAAACAATTATCGGTCGTATCAGCATATGAAGAAATCGGGGCTTTATTCTTTACTATAAAAATAGATTTAGGCCAATTTGTCAAAATCTTGGGCCCTACTATAATTGGTGGCATTGTCAATTTAATCATGAAACACAGGAATGGTATAAAAAAATAATAACATATTTTTTCATATGGATGTAATTCGATAATTCAATTTTTCCCTTTTTTGATCAGTCAACTTATGATTAGATTTTGTTCATTCAATAACAGTTTTATCTTTCGAAACTTTAATTTGAATGCAACATTTGTAGGAATTTGGCGTTTTTTTAAATTTTACAATAATGTTTGCTATTCATTTGCGATGTGATTTTCTATTCATTCAATAATTATGATAAGGTCATTATAATGTTTTAGCTTTTGGATAATAAAAACTGCATTTATCCTGGAAGATGTTGAAGATATGGAAATTTGTTACATTAGCAATAACATGGCGCGCATTATTTTTATTATAATTTTCTAGCATTTAAGGATGTGAAATTATGTCATATTATATCTCAGGAAAACTAATGCTAAATGACTTTACATGTTTCTATTTAGTTTCTAAATATATTTGGTGAATTCTTCG